ATCATAACATGAAAACTACACAAAAGACACCATTTTGTCAGTTATGCAAGTCATTCACAAAAAAAATCTGTTGATATTTACTTGGGCATAGCTATAAATCAATAAATTGTAGAGGTGTTAAAAGTAAACTCTCATTAATCTCCACTTTAGACACAGTAAAGGCCAAGACGCAGAAGGCAGTGCACTTAACCACAGCTGATCAATGAGGCCCACAGGGACTACAGAGATAAGATAAGAAAAAGTGAGTACGGTCTAGCAATTCTCATAACACTTTACTGTGCAAAGTTAAAGGGGCACTATGTAACTTGGTGGAGGGTATGTCTGATTGTCTCCATGGAAATGTTATTGCTTTGTCTGGAATGTTCCACAGTCTGACTTTAACCTATCTCCATGAAGACAAGCACATGACACCACCAGGCCATATTACAGGTTAGATCTGTAGAGAGACAAGCCTGCTCAGAGAAAAAATGTAATAAATGTGTGATAAGATGTGTACATGTAAGAGTGTGCAGTAAATCTACAGATATTCAATTAGATTCAATCAAGTGAATCAGATTGAATTTGATTGAATTAATCATCAATGATCAGCTTTGGTCTCATTAATCAACAGGTCATCATCCAGTCCTCTGTCAGTAAAAGCATGTGATTTGGAGGTTAGACTTAGATTGGAGGACAAAATCTGCCTATTTTTGTGGTCTGCACATGTACCTATGTTCAGGTAAACAATGAAAGCTATTTTTGTGTTTAATAAGACAAACCAAAAGTAAAGTAATAAGTTCTCCATGGAGACAAGCAGGCGGACCCTCCACAAGAAAAGTTTCAAAGTTAATCTTTAAAGCAAAAGACAACAGATAACACAGTGGCACAAGAGAACTATAACATCAAGTTAAGATAATGTCCATTCAACACTAAGGAAAGATATTGTCATAAAACATACTAGAAAATGTATATCAGCTAAGGGTGGATCATGAGGTGTTTTGCAATTCTATTAATTCAAGAAAAACTAAAACTGTCATCACACATTTTGAGTCAAGTGACAATGAGCCTGTAAATGTGTCGGCTACAGGTTCAGCATAAATCAAATAAATTGAGGCTGAAGGCAGTACTGGCCAATCAATACTGGTGCTGCCAAAGGGGCTGAAACCATTAGCACCAGTGCAAAGGACACTGATGTGAAATGACAGCGCTTTCACAAGAGCCGTTCAACCATTTCCCTTATTGTCCTGCACACAAAGACAGCCACTGCAGCCAACAATACGATGCACAGAAGAATGAGGTGGGTGGGACTCAGGAGGGTGCAAGTTGTGTCATTCAAAATAATTCGGTACGGCTTTATAAGTATATCTGAATATTATGAAATGTGATGCAATATTATCTTGCAGTTATCAGTTGTTGCAGGTGCACTCTGACACTCACACACAGCACTGGCGCCAAGTCTTAAAGCAAAGTAACTTTTTAAACAAGTCTGAGCACAATATAGCATGCACATAAATGAGTTGCTTTACAAAGGCAACAGTTATGAAATGTGGATCCAATGGTACTGATTTGCAGATATAAAACGAGCAATTGATGACAAAGTTCTTGACAACTTTCCTCCACAGATAAACTGAAGCAATAACGAAAGCCATAGTAACCCGGTCCTACCTCTCCTCTCCTGCTCTCTGCTCCAGGTCTGGTGATGAGCGCCGTGTCACCGCAAACCACGGCCGCGTCCTCCACAAACACGCAGTCCGGCAGCGCCTCGTCCGCGGGCAGCTCCACCACCTCCAGCCCCAGTCTCCTCCTCAGAACCTCCACATAGTCCGCGTGCTCCTGGTGCGCTTTGTCCAGATCCACCTCCGACTGACTGCTGCGGAGCGCCTCTGTGGCCAGGGAAGCAGGGATTCCCCGGACCACGGCGTGGGTGTAGTGACCAAATTTCGCCAGCAAACCAGCCATGTTTTACGCTCGCTTATGCTTGGCACGTTCAACCTGCAGAAAAACAACGAGCAAAGGAGAAAAGGGGCACAGTAAATGGACTACGGACTTGTGCGTTTATTCGTGATCACCGCTTTGGTGACGCGCGCACAACCACCGCGTGCAGCGAGATGGTTAGGACAAGGTTCACGATGTGCACCCCCAACAAGTGACAGATACGCCTGGAGCAGCGACCCTGCCGCTCTACTAGCTACAACCTGCAACTAGCCTCCAGTATAGCACGCTGCCTGCGCTGAAACGTGCTCTGCGATGTTCTGCTTCCCCGGTGTCTTTGTAGCAAAGGCGAAAATACTGTAAATGCCCAGAACATATCCAAGTATTTTTCTAATTTCAAATATTTGTGAATGAATGTGATGTTTTCTGACTGTGTGTAAAGATGCAGCCGGGCCAGCCTTTGTATCACTTTATTATTGGCTTTTCAGTATTTGAACCTCAATAATATCCATCCATAAGCTCCAAAGACTTTGAACATGCCTTTTCTTTTCTGGCATGTTCTGTAGCATGCAAACATATGAACGTTATTTCAATACCTTTATCATAACCAGACCCAGACATTATATTTTTTATTATATTTAACTCTTATAAGAAGGTTTACTGGTAAAATCTGCAACAAATTGAGGAAAGAATGAACTTCTGAAGCCATGTGTGACTGATTCACTTCTGGCTGACTTTCTAATGTAACATACACAGCCTTCAAACCTGAGCAGGAATGTCAGAAGAGGGTGGTTCTTGTCCTGCAGTGTGGAGTCAGTCTTTGGTGGACAGCAGGAGAAGGGTGTGTTTTGTCCCATATTCCCGGTGGTATCATCTGAGGCAGGTTGTGGGCCTGGCCAAGCAGCCTGAATGGATGGAATGTTAAACTTCAGAGATCTCAAAAGCACATTCTTCCACCGCGGGACCCCAGTTTGTCTTTTCTGGTTCCAGATTCACTCAATTATCCCTGACTGTTATAAACATTCCAGGACATTCCAGCAGCCCTGCATTGATTTTTCCACTCCAGCCAGGACGCGCCACCTTCAACCCGCTCCGGAGGTGGGCAGAGGGGCCAAAACCTGCACTCAAGTATAAGTACAGACAGGGTTATATAAAAGTGGGGAAGCTGACCCAATTAATGCTTTAGAAACTTAGATTGCCAGGCCTGAAACTATCAACATGATTCTAGTGAAACAACATAGATCAGAAAATAGTGTAATATGGACCTTTTAACTTCTAATCATTAATCATCAGCTATGAAAAAGTTGTAACATGGATTTACATTTTACTCCTTAAAAAGATATTTCAACAAAACTTATGTTACTTTTGCCTTACTTCGCACATATTTCACCGGCACTCGTGGGATATCTTACAAATTACATACAATTAAGTTAAGAATTGACAGTTCTGGGTTACAGTACAGCAGAGATATACGATCGCATACGTCGTAGACATAACTGAAATTGAGCTCATGTTTATACAATCACTCCCAAAAATATCACTTTAAATTCACTGTAAAGGATCTCCCTATAGAAAAATATTCATTATTCACGTTTGAAGGGCCTATATTATGCTATTTTCTGGTCTATGTTACAATGTTTCCACATCAAAACCATATCTGGAGTTGTGTTTTGTTTCATTCACACATGTTTAACACACAAACACTTCCCATTTAGGCTGAGTTCTTGTCTCAAACTGAAAACACTCTGTTCTACCTTGTGATGTCATGTGGTAATACAGGAAGTGCTCCACTGTGCTTTCAAACTCATTTCATCTTCACTAGAATCATTTGGATGATTTCAGTCCTGGAATCGCCTATTTCTACTGAACGAAAGGGACAAAGAGCTGTTAACTTGAAAACTACTACATGACATCACAAGGTGGAACAGACATTTTGATCTTGTACCGAGTAATAATGCATACGTGAATGAAATAACTCCAGGTATGTTTTTGAGGAGGTACAAAGAGCTAATTTTGCATAACACTGGATCTTTAAGTGCATTCAAGAACTAGTTTCAAAGTGCAGTGTCCTTAAAATGGAAACAGACAGTTCAAATAAATGTAAAATATTTGCCCAAGTCAACCCAAACACCCTCACATGTCCAAGCCCAGACCTTACCACCATTGCTTTGTTTTTCCATCATTCTTCATGTGGGACGGACGGAGAAAGGATCCTCTATTTGCTTGCTATGTCCTCGCTCCATGCTGAGGAATTTGGGTTAGCTGAAGAAGCCCTCAGACATTGGAGGCACACCTGGCTGGTACATGTGCAGCTAGAAATCAAATAAAACAGAGCATGGAGAGACGCAGCTGCAGACGGACAAAGCAGTACCTTTTATTGGCCCAAAATGACTGCGATGATGAGATTATTAGTCCTCTATAAGTGACACTGATCTATATAATTACACAGGTGGTATATAAAGGATACACTGATATTCACTTAATCACTGCTGTGAATGAAGTGGTGACATGAAACTGGAAAATACAGCTGGGTCTTTCATTACATTATATTTTAAAGGCATCCTCTTATTAATATGCACAGTTTAAAGGGGTTTACTTTACACACAGGTGCTCATATTATACTGCAATTGCTCAGATTTCTGCTGCAATGACTAATACTACCACCATTACTGTTGTGGAAATTACATTTGATGATAATCCATTTCCGAAGCCTTGTAAATTATGAAATAGAGAGTTTTAAACCATTATGACAAAATTATGCGAGTATCTGGCCAGTCAGAACCACACGCTTTGATAAAACTTTACAAAAAAACTTTACAATGACAAGTGGATGTAGAGTCATATATTGTCTATCTGATCTCAGAGAATGTGATTGACAGGTGGATTAACCAATAAGAGAGATGCATTCTCTGTTCACTGGCTGGTCAGGCAAACAAAGTGGATGGGTGGGTCACATGTTGAGGTGTGACCAGTCAATCCCAGATGACAATTATGAGTTGTTGTGGTCTTAAAATGTGGAATAAAAACAAGTTGTGGTACATTTCATGAGAGAGAGATCTGAAAGACAGCTGCGTGGTCTGATTATATCTATGAGTACATACTATTGACATACCTATGGAGATTAACAAGCAAGATAGGACAAAAAGGTGTTACTTAAAAGGTTTTCTAGAATGTCTGCAAACCAAAATGATTTTAAAGATAAAGTAAAACATAATATTTGATTTTCCTTTATAATTACTATCCACTTTGCAACCCCAAACAATTTCCAGTACATTAAAAGCTCCTATATTACACAAAATGGACTATGGTGAGCTTTAAACCATGTTAGAATGTTGTTACCTACTTAAAAACATACCTGGAGTTGTGTTTTGTTTCATTCACACATGTTTGAGTAACCCTTTATTATTAGTCTGTCTATATCTCCAAAGCTAAAAATGTTCTGTTCCACCTTGTGATATGATGTAGTGGTAGTTTGCAAGTTAACAGCTACTTTTTTAATCTTTTCTTTTGTGGAGATTGGAAATTCCAGCTCTGAAATTATCCAAATTATTCTAGTGAGTTATGGAGTTTAAAATGTGGAGCACTTCCTGTATTACCATATGACATCACAAGGTGGAACAGACTGTTGGTTGAGAGAAGAACTAACAGCCTAATAATGCAGGATTTGTGTGTTAAACACGTGAGTGAAACAAAACATCCAGGTATGTTTTTGATGAGGAACCAACATTATAACATAGATCAGAAAACAGTATAGTATGGGCCCTTTAATAGGAGATTAAAAATGTACTCTACTAGTATGTAGTATTAGTTTAAGCATTAGGAACATGATGGCATTGTTAACTTATATAAATAGCTTTGCACATATTAATTATGTCTGGCAGTTACATAACTTTATGTTACGCAGGCCATAGGTACTGTAAGTACAGCATAGACTTTTTACACTGTGCATAAATTCTCATTCTCAAACTCGCCTTGGCCATAATTAATTAGGAGAGGAATGGCAGACCTGTTTCTCTGAAGCAGAGGATTACCATTTTGGAAGCTCTCTTTTGTCATTTTTGACAGAGGCACGAATTCCTCACATTTTTACAGTAACAGATGTGAGATTGTTACACTGTGGATGGATGCCTGTGAAGCAACTTTTTGTACATTCAGTTTCACATGAAAGCCTATATCTATTGGTCTCCACGAGGATGTTACTGCTTTTTCAGAAATGTTTCACAATGGCATTAAATGCATTTATCATGACATTGTGCATTTATAGGTGTTTTTTTTAACTAATTAAAAAAAACTGGTGAATGGCTTGCCTCTCCACAGATCTGCCCTGTAAGTTGACCTGGTGAGGTAACCTGCTTATCTCTATTTAAGAAAATAAGTGGCATATTGTGGAACATTCCAGGCAAAGCAATGACATCTCCTTGGAGACAAGCAGGTGACGTGGCCTCCACCAGAAAAGTTAAACAGTGCTCCTTTAATGTATCTAAAGCAATACTAGTCTCAAATATTCAACAAGCCAACAGTTTGTTTTCTAAGTAAATATGTTAAAAATGTAGCACAATCGCCACAAGAAGAAAAGGTTGTATTTATTATCGAATAAAACAATTTTAACATATTCAGCAGTGAAGTCCCGAGTCGGCCAGCTCAGTAGATTATTTAGTTTAAATCTGGGACACAATGTTCAACTATGTGACAACTATTGATAAACAAAAGCATTTCTGGGATTTCTGTTTCCGTTTAGCATCCAGTTCGATACATATTTTACTGTCAGCTTGGCTTCTAAACAGCAGACTTCCTGTGCTCCCTGACCCGCCAGCAGAAGGAAGTGTTGCTATAATACAAACAATAAAAGTTATGGCATTTATCTTGAATATTCCACAGTGGAATCTAATGTTTACAAAAGCTGTCCTGTTCTACTTCATCGGGCTAAGGGCTTTCTTCTTAATGGTTGACTGTCTCCAAGTATATAAGTCCAAACATACTGTAGTACATGTAGCAGTGGTTTTCCAAAGATGAGGTCAAAAATAAGTCAAAGTTTTTAGCTGTTCATTTGCCCCAAGGTCCAGGAAAGCCCTCATATTACCCATAATATGTGCACCATGACCTTAGTGGAAACAATTAGACCAGGCAATTACTGGAGACGTAGATCCTTTGGAAATGTTGAAGTGAATCTAATTATGGAACAAAAAATAACGACTTCGATGACGTACAGTGACAGCCATGTTTCCTCTGAAGGGATATTTCATTTTAGAAAGCTTCACTGTATGTTTATGTTAATGACCTCATACATTTTTTGTTTTGGCTGTTCCCTTTCTGGGATCGCCCTCCTTCTTCAGTATTCTCAGCAGCCTATACACTTTCACTTCAACCAACATTTTCCTCTTGGCCTGCTCTCCTTTAATTCCTATCCTGATGTTATCCAATTCCAACTTTCAAAATGTGACAATAGAGAAATAAATAATCTATATCCTATCCAGTTTCACCAAAAGAGTCTAATGGACAAAACAAGCAGACAAGTGTAATTTCCAAGAAAAGATTTTGATCTGGTGATTTCTTATCTGTATGCAGGTCAAATAAAAGGTACACTATGTAACCTTTCTGGTGGAGGGTCTGTCATCTGCTTGTCTCCATAAAGGTGTCATTTCTTTGCTTTGAATGTTCCACGTTATGGCTTTCATGTAAACAAGCACGGGACGCCATAAAGCCAAGTGACAGATCAGATCTGTGGAGAAGATACACCATTCACCATGATCTGTGTAGGACCTAGTGCACCTTTAAAAGACCATTTAGAAAAAAGCCACAGAAATTGAGTGGTATCAGCATCAGAGCAGACCACACTGTACACACAGTCTCAAGCGCACGTGGGTCGAGACACACCCCCATCCCAAACAGTTCCACGCCCCTCCAGCACACCAGCACTAAGGTGGGAGACTGCGAGGCAAAATGTTTACAAGCTGGCATTTCCTACGAAGTCAAAGATGGACTATTTACGCATTTTAAAGGTACTGGGAATAGTAAGAGTAGTAAAGAAGAGGGATATTGCACAAACCTCAGCACATCTCCATCTAGTGTTATAAAGTGGAAGTTAAATTTTTATCCAGTATACCTCACTGTTATGCAAAATAACTAAACAAACAGCTGAACTGGCAGAACCACTGGTCGTTATGCACGAATTAAAAGTTAATTGTTAACTCACCGGTCCGGGGGTGCTCTCCAGCCATTCTGTCTTTGGATATTTAGCCTACACAAAACCAAAAGCTCGCACCCGATCATGTTTAAATGTCGTCTTTGGGCATCACTTACAATTTACGCATTTAAAATCCCTCGTTTCAACACCGGAGAGTCCTATTTAGACTAAAGTACAGAGACCAAATGTTTGTCTCCCCCCACCAAGATGTCTAGTGGAAAACCGAATCACAAAACTCCAACAGAACCCACTCACTCCCCCCGGTGAACAATATTGCGTGAAAAGTGAAATTAGGCATAAATGCGAAGGAATTTCCCCTTCCTTGAAGATCATATTTAACAAGGCTTTAAGCTGTCACAGGAATGCTTTGTGGTCTGTTGGCCAAAGGGAGAGAAATATGTTAATAATGTAGGCTACTGCCATACCAAATATGGCAATACTGTTACGTCTGAGCTCTGGTGCGCATCTGGAAACGCTTAGCTGCTCTGAATAAAGGCACTGCAGAGCCAGAAATAGACACTGTTAAACGAATTTCTGCCCACACCTGGAAGACTCACAGAGAAAGTACTATTTTAAACGTGGCCACATAAGCATGCTGTTAAAGAACTTTTGGCAAACTTCATTCATCAACTGAAGTGTCACACGCCGTGCGTAAATGCGCACTAAACAGCAGCTGTCACTTTAATCTCGCGCGACTACGGGAAAAAAAAAAAAAAAAAAAAAAAAAAAAGGAATAGAAGCACAATTTACTAATGTAAAAGGCTACCGCTTTATTCATGACACCACCTTATTCATTATAAAACGTTGCTCTCAAATTCACAGATGCTTTTGAATTGTAGAGGAGGAAAGCGAAGGAATGGACAAACAAGAGAGAAAAATGTGAGACGGAAAAGTGTGCTGAGATTGGATCCAGGGGGGAAAAATCCATTTGAGAGGAGATGGGAAGAAAAAAAAATAGAAAGCTTTAGACAGGGTGGAGCTTAGGTCTTGGATG